ATATATATATAGATATATATGTACCCTTTAGTGAAACAATCTGATTGTGCTGCTTGGATCAGCAACCCCAAATGCAGCCAGGCTGGCCATACCTTTTGTTGTTATGGCAACATTTTTGCATGTGTGTGCATGTGAGATTTTTGAGCGTGCGTGCATCCGCTGTATTCCTGGCGAATGACGAGCACAGCCGTTATTTGTTGTCAGTTGATGTATGACATGATCACACATGCACACACAGAACAATCAACAAAACAAGGCACTCTGGGAAGGATTGGGGTGGCGTGTGTGTGTAGGAATGAAAACTGTCCAAATGAAGTGTGTGTGTGTGTGTGTGTTGTGTGTTGTGTGTGTGTGTGTGCATGCGCATTGGGGAGGAGGTGGTCGCCATGGCATTCTTAAAACTAAAATGGCCCCTCTAATACCATCAACTACAAAACCTCACACTGGAAAAAAACATCTCCAATTTTCAATAACAGCAACCTGTTTTACCCTCAATGTCACTCTGTGTGTGTGTGTGTGTGTTTGTGTGTGTGTGCGGGCTCTGGCAGCCTCTCCCGGTACATGAGTTGGCGGAGTAAGGAGGACACCACCGTTGCTGCTCCACCTCTTGTCGTCACGATGGTCAGTGCTCCGTCGTTTCAGTCAATAGGGCAAGATCCTCCAATTGAGTCCGTCTGCTCTGCAGTTCTGTCTCCATGGTTACCACATCATCGTCATCCAGTCTGTCAATCTTGCTAAGGGGGGCGGGCCCGGGGGTGCAACGGGTGGGGAGGAAAACGAAAACAAAAAGAAATCCTCAGAGGCGAAAAGGGGGTAAACATTCACGCGTGAGATGGATTCCCCAGCAGGTAGAGAGACAGAGAGTTCCTCCGAGGCTTCGTGCTGTCTCCTCTACCCATAGTTCTCAGGGGTGAAGTGGGGGGGTCTTCGATTGGCTGCTTTTCAAAACGATGATTCGAGGCGGAGTCAGTTTCCAGTGGTTATTTCACGCAGAGCAGGCCGCCCACGTTTGCCACAAACTCCTCCAGGCTCTTGAGGAAGGCCACCTTCTGCTTGCGGTCCATTGTGGGTGGCGTGCTGCTGGCCGTCAGCTTGTTGAAGGCGTCGGCCAGCCGCTGGTAGATGACGGCGTCTCTCTGCGAGGACAGCAGAGTCTCCACCAGCTCAGAGTACTCGGCCTGACAGAGAGGACAAGCAGACCATCAACTTAGGGTCAAATAAAGACCTAACAGGAGGCCAACAAGTTGCTGCAGGTTTCAACAGGTTCCATTTAAGACTTTTTAAGACCGTCATGAATGCAACTGATTTTACATCCATACTGGCAAAAAAGTACTAAGGATATGAAGGAAGGCTGGTATTCAGTCTTTATTAATTGTATTCGTTCCATGTCAATTTTGTAGTTGATAGCGTGATCAACACAATTTCTTCCCCAAAATGCATTAAAGACTGTACTGAAAAATTAGCAACTTTATACAAGTAACATTACCTTTATTAATCCAGTCCATTTTAAGACCTGTCAAATATTTAAGACATTTAAAAGGCCTAAAACTCAGATTGTTGGATATACACTTCTAAGACCCTGTGGACACCTGCAGCATCATCGGCTGATAAGCTTCAGTATATAAAGTGTCAGTGACATTATTTGACCACTAGAGAGCACTGTAGCTGTACATACTGTGGGCACAATTCAGTACTAATAAAATAATAAAATGGGAGGGGTCCTTAAAAACCATTCTCCCCTCATTTTTATTCTCTCTACTGTGTACCTCCTAATAAAGGGATCAAATGCCCAATAAAAGGTTTATTATTTATTGTTAATATTATGTGTTGATATATGTGTATATGCTGATTGTCCTCAAATGTTGTAATATTGAATGTGCTCTGTTTAATACTCACTGATAGAAGAGACAATGTATTGGGGATGGGTCAAAACACCACTAGATTTTTTATAAACAACTCAATGGATACAACGTATGTAAACACAACAATTCACCAACAAAAATAATAAATGCATAAAGTTTACTGAAACAAAAATAGCTTGAAATAAAGTGAGGAGACAAGTAAAGCTTATAACTGAAACTAAATGTGAAATTGTATATTTTACTTTATTATTTATATTATATTATTTTGTTTTAGTATTGGCTTAATTATTATTCATTTATAATTTTACTTATATTTATTTTTGGGTCAGTTCACATTACAGAAAAACTGAATTTTATGAACATGTACTATTATGTGCTACATCTTTAGCTCTGTAAGTTCTGTACTGTGGTACTGGAAGCTGAGTTATGTGCTATGACGCAGAGCGCACACTAGAGGGCTTTTGGTGTAATTCACAAAATCTCTGCCCGCTGCTGTGTCCAGCAGATCGGACCTCACTTATAATAGTGCTTATTTATACTTACATACTAAAATATAATTACATGCAAAATATTCTGAAGAAACATGCTGTGTTTCATAATCTATTTGAAGATGTTTAGCATGTTACATTTGGTTGTCTTAACAGGTGGGTAAGCCAGCAAAGCAATGTTGCTGCTAGGAAAGTGTCACCACTGTTGTTAATGAAGTGGACAGTGCTGTCAGACAGGTCTCAGATCAGTCATCTTAAAAGCCTTCAGGTCATTTTATAAAGCAAGAAAATCGATTATTATTGGCATTAGATTTGTCTTTATTGTCAACCACAGCTGATCCAGCTTTTCTCCTGGTTATTAACAGGTTCAACCACTGGAGCATCCTGGTGCGTACAGGTGTTGTAAGCCATTTACTCACCTGGTGCAGGCACACAAGTGTGTAAAGAGCTTCCCCTGCTGCCACCGTCATCTCTGTGTTGTGTTTTTGCAGGACCAGCATGTCAAACACCAACTGGAGGCACAGATGAAGGAGGACACGGTGTAAAGAAGAAAACATTATCATAAAGCAAAAGTCTACATTCAAATTAGTTCTGCAATATTATGGATCCTAAAGTCCAACAGCATGTAGCTTCCTAGCTAAATATAAAGCTGCAGTCAGCAGCTGATTGGCATAGCTTAGCACAAAGACTAGGAACAGGGGAACAGTTAGCATAACTCTGTCCCAAGGTAAAAAAAATCCTCATCCACCCAGAACATCCTAAGATATTTTTTGGGCTTTTATGCCTTTATTTTGATAGGACAGATAAGGATAGACCAGAAAGGGGGAGGCGGGGGAGGCGACTTGCAGCAAAGGGCTGCAAGTTGGAATCGAACCGAGGCCACTGTAATAAGGACTTATCCCATAAGCCTACCAGGTGAGCTACTGTGCACCTCACACCTTGTTTTTTTAAAACCATCATCAAGTTATCACATTTACGTATTTTATTGAGGTGAAAAAGCAACCCAGCCAGCTGTGTGGTAAATACCTTGAGGAAGTGACGGGTGGCGATGAAGAGGGGTGTGTCCTTCTCCTGGTTCTTAGCGCACTGCTCAGCCAGAGGAGACAAAGCCTCCAAACACAGCTGGCTAATCTCTGAACTCATCCTGAACACAGACGTTAAGGAGCAGAAACTACAGAACAATCTGATTTCTTCCTGTCGAGGGGAACTTGTACAGCTGCACCAGATGGAAGCAAGAGGAAACAAATCAAACACTGATGACCAGAAAACTAGTAAATTATCCTAACAAGCACCAGTAGAGTAACTAAATTGAAAAACATATTATTTAAATTGGACATCAGATCAGAAATAAGAAAGTGAGCATCTGTTTTCAATAGACTGGTAAGGGCACACTTTGGGTCTGTACTAAAAATTAAAAAATCTACTAAACAAGATTATCAATTGGCCTTAGTGAATGTGCACAAGCATAAACTGATACTGCATGCACGCATGTACACAAACACGCACACACAGGCGGACACACACACACACAAACAGAGTCACAGCAGACACACACTACACACCACAAGGCGACCCCAGACACACACACACACAGGCGGACACACACGCACACGCACACAGGCGCGCACACACACAGATGTAGGCAGTGGGAGGATACGAGGTCATTCCCAGCTCCAGGGAGAACATGAGGCTTTTGAAGAGGTCTTCGGGCAGTTGTGGGATCTTTTCTGGAAAGATCTCACAGATGAACGTGATGAGCTTGTAGTACTGGTTACACAGAGAGGGAAACTGGAAAACAACGAGGACAAGATCAGCACAAACTCCCAGAACATGTCATCCAAACAGATCTTGTTTGATGAGGATATGTCTAGCCTGGATCTATATTAAACGCTAAAAATCATCCCTGCTGTGCAGTCTCACCTTGAGCAGGTCCTGAGACATGAGTGGAAGAACAATGTTGACTCCATAGAGAACCACATCTGCTGCCGATACCGTCCGATTGGACGCTGGCGTTCCCTGGTCTTGGTTTCGAAACACTTCGTCTAGAACACACAGCAGTTTAAAAAAAATTAATCTGAAGCAACATGAACAAGACAAAAGAGAAGTCTTCCACTGTAACTGTCTGTGGATTTCAGCTCTGAATTGACATTTAAAGACAGAAACATCAGCCAGCTCACCGGTGTCGCTGAAGTCGATGAACTCTTTGGAGAGCAGGTTTGTGAGCAGCTCCATGATGAGCAGCAGGTCCTGGTACTGGTCCTCCTCAGCTGTGGCGTCACTTCGCTTCCTGCTCTGGTTGTTTTTGGAGTAGACCTGCAGCAGCGTTAGACACGCCTCATACAGCTTCATGGACTTAGTCTGGATGAGGAGGGAAGAGGCAGTGGTGACAGTTAACATCTCATACAGCTGCAAGGACGTGAAGCCACGAAGAGTCCTCATAAAATAAGTTTGTTTTTTACTTCTGTAGAATCGTATGTCTATGATACTGTGTTTCCTACCACAGCTGGACTGAAATATATCCCCTGAGAACTGATGAAAGTCAATCATCTTTATGTTATCCTTAGTCTGATACAAACGTTTTAAAACATGTTTTTTAAATTAGTTCTGTCTAGGTGCATCTCACAGCCCCTGCTTTCCTTTTCTGATTCTTTCCAACATACTGTGTCTTTTTCTCTACAATCAATGAGGACCTACAATAGGAAAACTGTGCCTTTATCTTCAACCAGACTCGTGGCCAGACAGCAGAAAAAGAATGAGAAAAAGATCTGAGGTTCATGTTAATCATGTAAAATGTGAGAATGCAAAACCCCCCACAATGTTTGTACAATGTACAAGCAGATTACAGTTCTGCTGAGCAAATGTTTCATTAATTACAATCATATTCAGCCAAAGTCAAAGATGAGTTGACTGATGAATATCTGTTAATAAATATGAAGCTGCTACTGATGAGAGTCAAAAAGATGATGAATTACAATTATCGACAGAACATCCCACAGGAAGTAGAACGACATATGATGAAGATCCTTCGTGGCAGCTTTTGTCTTGTACATACACTTATGGACTAACGCAGTACCGGCTGCTACGGAAAGTAGCAACTCATTATTTGCAAAATATTTTAAACTTACTTTATCTGCAGGTAAAACAATACAAGTACATGAAAGATGGGTCACTCACTTCTCCCAGGTAACAGATCTGCTTGTGAGCCACTTCCACAAAAACCTCGATGATGAGGTTGATCGTCTCTGGCGTGTTGCTGTAGACCTGAGCAGCAACAACAACAGAAGTCAATGGTCAGATGAGATGTTAATGTCATTAAGATACTGATGCAGAATCTTTCATCATAAATGAACATAGGTGAACTGTAAAGAGAGTTTGTTGGTTTAATTTTAGAGTTAAATGCTATGTATAAAATCAGATCAGTCTTTGTAAATAACTCTTACCATGTGCCAATTTATCTTTAACCCAGTGTGCTTTACAAAACCACTGGTTTCACATGTGAGGATCTAACTGGACCTCCAACACTGTCAGACGTGTTGCCTAACCCTAAGCTACACAGGAACAAAAACATACAGGCTACCTTTCACTGACTCCTTCCCAACCCGCTCTTACCTCCATGAGGCCGATGCAGCTGGACAGGAAGTCCATGAGGAAGGAGAAGAGCGAGGCCACGTTGTCTATCTGTGTCGCCTCTGCGATGCCGCACAGCGCCTCTAATGTAGCCACGATTTCCTGTTTGACGGCTTCCTCCTGGCTGATCTGAGCAAAGTTCTCCTGGTTGATGAGGTTGAGGAAACGTTGCTGCAGAGGGTGGAGCACCTGGATGGACAGGTGGACAGAGAGAAACAGTCTTAGGTTAACTTACAAATCAACTGTTGCCTTGACAAATGTCTGAACGATTTGTTCAGATGGGACAAACTGTATATTAACAACCCCATTCAAACATTTTGAAGTACCCTGTAGAACTCTCAGTGGTATCTTCACTTGTGCAGCTAATTAACACATTTAATGTTTATTTAATGTTACATTTAATGTTTTATTAATTACCGTGCACTTTTTAGATTTTCTGGCAGGACTGAAATGACATGATAGTAATTTTAATCAGTTTAAAAAAAAAAACAAAAAAAAAAACATAAGTGGCAGCCTATGGGCTTTGGGCTAACTTGCATTTAAATCTGAGTTACTTGAGCATATAGGATACAAGTGATTTCTTGGTGCATGTAAGCAAAGAGTAGGAATGTAAAGATGTAACAAGAGTGATCAGTTGCTGGGTCCATCCCTCCTCTTCTTCCTCCCACAGAGCCATCCAAGTTCAGACAAAGCAGCTGCAGGAGCCAACAGCTGCTGTCTCACTCGTCCACCCCCCACATAATTACTCTGGAGTCATTGTGGCTTTGCACCCCCATTTACTACTGTCAGCCTATTAAGACAAAGGCCTGCAGGATCACGAAAAGGATCACAAAAAGGATCACGTTATACACATGGGAGGAAGACTCGACGGGGGAATATTATCGACCACATCCATCACTCCTCCTCCTCCTCCTCCTCAGATCGGACTGGAGCCCGCAGAGATCTAGAGACCAGTTTGTGTGCAAAGCTCATGATGGGTGGAGATGTCAACAAAACTGCAGAAATAGTCAGTTTTTTTATTCATTAATCAGATGTGAAACAGGTAGTTAACTTTGGCTGTTGGGTGTTCAAAAGGATCATTTCAGTTCATAACAAGCATCTTACTTTGACATTTTTAGTCATCATTTAGTTCAGTACAAAGATGTAGGAACATTGCTACAATAAATATATAATCCAACGATGCACAACAAGGAGCAGTGAGAGGAAGTGAACTATCCAGATCATCTAAAACACTTCTACACACTATCTGCATGCACATCTGAAAGTGAGTGCATTGGTAATAATCTCTCATTGCACAGGTAAACTGTGTGTGCACAGCTATGGCAGGTACGTCAGACCAAAGAACTGTTATGTAAACTGTGACGTTTAAACACACACAGTTTAGGTGATCACTTTACTGTATGCCTCTATTTTCTAAGTAACTAACCTAGAGATTTGTTTACAACCCATTGCCCAAGTCCCAAGTTGGAGTTAATTAGAATAATATTCAACAGAGCTACAAAACTCAAGCTGGATTTTTTTTTTTCTTGTTATTCTTCTGTTCTATTTATAGGATTTAATAGGTCATCTGCCAGAATATTTCAGCTGCTGAGTAGGTGTGGTGGGTCTCCATTCCCTAAAGAGCTGCTAACACACAGAATTTAATTACTCTGTTTTTTCTCCCATGATGTGTCCTCCTTATGCTCATCAGTCATTTCTAATTTCTCTATTTTCTGGAGATATTTGTCTGTATAGTTTGAGATGCATAGTTTTTAAGTACATACTGTCTTTATTATTTACATTAATCATTTTATGTATATATTTATTTATTATGGGCCTGTTATATGGCAATATTGATAAATTAATCATAATTAATAAATAATTCCTTAAACTAAGTGATACCTCTGTAATGATGAAACAATATGTACAAAACAAACCAGTGTAGAGATGCAACTAACAATTATTTTTAGTATTAATTATTCTGTTGATTACTTTTGTGATTAATTGCTTGATCTGCTAAATGTCATAAATAAGTGAAAACCATCAATCATAATTTCACGGAGCCCAAGCTGACGTCTCCAAACTGCGGCAGTACGACTGGCTAATGGACATACACTCAAGAAAAGCAGTAAATTCTCACATTTGAAAAACTGGAACCAGAAGGCTGTTGTAGATTACATTTCTGGCAATCGTCTAATCAACAAATCATTTCGGCTATTATTTTTCACTGTACACATTACCTCAGCCCAGTATTGCTGTTTGGTGTCAGAGTCCATGTGTGCGAAGCCTCCCAGCACCAGAGCTTTCATCAGAGACCTCTGCACGGAGCTGGACAGTAGGTGGAGGGGTGGGCTGCGGCTCGCAAACTGCTTCGCCAGGTTCCACCAGCTCTCACACTGCACCACAATGTTGGCCCTGAACAGACACAGAGGGAGGCAGAGTGTCAGAGTATGTGCTGTGGTAGGAGCTGATGTAACACCCAGCAATCTGCAAGAACATCTGCACTTATAGATGATCTTAACACAGAGGCCTCAGATCATATAGTGTATTTCTGCCGCCTGTCATACATAAAAGTTAGGATCCCTCTACCTCTGGATCAATCTTTTGGTCCATAAAATGTCAGAAAATGGTGAAAAATGCCACTCACAATTTCTCAAAGTGACATCTTCTAAAGTCGTTGAGTCTGACCAACAATCCAAAACCCCAAGATATTAAGTTTACAATCATGAAAGACTAAGGAAATTAGAACATATCCACATTTCAATACCTGGAACCAGACAATTGTGGATCATTTAATTAAAAAAATGAATCAAAACAATTCACTGATTATATAAATAAATAAAGAAATAGGCCCTCACCTCTCCCTCTTCTCTACCAGCGTCACCAGCAGCTCCACGGTGTCGTTTGCCAGCTCAGCCTCCGAGCTCCACACAGACAGGTTGTTGATTACCTTCTCTAGAAGATATCCCACAATCCACTGGGCACCCTCTGTGTCCGCACCAAACGCCGTGCTAAGGGGGATGCTGATCTGAGGAAAGACAGGAAAAAAGACGAGACAGAGGAAAAACATCTGTTTTATTGCTATTACGGGGAACAATATAGGGAGTGCTGACGGAATATGGTGTTGAAGATGTATAACAAAAGATTTTATATGTATGTAGAGGTATGTGAGCTATAGTGGGACATAAGAGGAGCAGAGGAGCCTCGAACCTGCTCGTAGAGCTTCTCGTCCACCAGCAGGTACGTCTTGGCCCAGCGTCTGAGGAACCACACAATGTCCTTTCCCATCTGTGGGCTCAGCAGCCCTGTCAGGCTCGCTCTCGTTGCCCGGGACTCAACCTCTGACGTCCGCAACACCGCTGACAGCAACCTGTGAAAGAAGAATACAAGAGAGAGCAGCTGGATTTAATATAGGAGGAGGAAACCTGGGAAGACAATGTGACAGAGAAGCAAAACAATTAGAAAAATGAAAGGTTAGATAGATAAGACAGCGAGAAGAAGGCATGACAACAGGGAGTCAAAAGGAAGGATGGGAGAGAAATGAACTGAAATAGATTAAATGATACAAACAAGGTCAAGACAAGATAAAGAACTCAGTGGAGACACAAAAATATTAAAGCATCTGGGTGTGAGCAGCTTTTTATTCAAGGAGCGAAGATCACTTTTATACCATTTGGGCTTTGACATCACAATATATGCAACAGTCACAACGCAAAGCACACAGAGTAAAGCTATATTTATAGTTTCTGCATCCATGTAAAGTTTCATCATCTGTCCATGACTGCAAGGGGTCAGCACAGATCATCCGATGGCAGCACAAAAAATTTACAGGCTGACAAATGTGTAGTTTTATAATGCTCCCATGTAGACACCCACCCACATCTGTTTTGGGACTACTTTTGTGCCTTTATGTGACAAATTAGTCACTGCTTGATCAACAATTTTAGACCTTAAGAGTTTTTTTCTTAAGTATCAATTCTAAAATGTCTTGTAGGCATTGTGAGCATAAACAATCATCTGGTGAGTTAAAAGAAAACACTTCTCTTTGTTTCTTTTCACACTGTACCCCACATCTTGCTGGGTGTCATTGTTTTGTCATTATTTCATTACTTTTCCATGTAATCATGGTATTATTGGGTTTATAAAACATCTCCAATCTGAACTCCAGATAAATTGCGGCCTAAGGTGCAGGTGCAAACGTAGAGGAGCTTGATGCCACGCTGGTTGTGCAGACACACATCGGTTTCTAGTCAAGATACTACAGAACAAAGATTTAATCAGAGGCACACAGTGAGGACAAGAGTCTTGTGCTATAAGATATAGTTTGATTTATTGTTATAGAGGAAAATGTGACAGTTAATTGTGATATTGATTCTGGTCACCTAACCCCACAATAAAATTATCAAACCTTAGTGCACAGCCATAATATTGATGCCCTTTGTGTGTGTTAAAGAGTGGGCTCCTCAAAGTCAAGTCCACACACACACACAGAGTTTATAAAGGACAGAGAGACAAAGGGTTTAAAGCAGCTTATGGTCCGCCCCCCTCAGTCGAGGACAGTGCACATTGTTTGCAGAAAACAAAACCACGTTGACATTTACGGGGCCGGGGTCGTCTGTTCACTGTTAGGAAACCTGATGCCATCGGCCAGTCGCCTCTGCAATCTTCTGTCATTGCTGTCATCCCCCCTAACACACACACACACACACACAGCGACAGCACCACCTGACACTCCTCCTAACATATATGAACGTCCTAGAACAAGAACGACGCAGTCCTAGAAATCGACTTTCACGAACAAACCAATGTCCGCTTGGCTGCTGTGGGACATAAAAATCTATTGTCGTTCACGTGTGATCACTACTCCCTAACCCAAAAAAATCATGTTAATGCGACCCTCCCAGGCCTTGCATACACACCACTACGCTGTTCAAACAAAACGACGCCTTTCCAAAAGAAGCAGTACCACCACATAATAATCAAAACAAAAATACCCACAACCAAACGAAAAGAAAACCTCAAGAAGATAACGAGAAAACATTTACCATCGCCTGTTGCCCTGCCACCCACTTCCTT